CCCCCCCCCCGCCCGACCCTCCTCTAAATCCGCCACTGTTATTTGTTTGAATTTATACATATTGATCTACTTAAATAAAAGACAGCCGAAGGCTGGCTACACTACAGCCATTAGCACAGGCGGAACCAGGATTATTTGAAGGGGGCGTGCACGTGGATGCGAAGTCAACCCCCCTCCCCCCTTGGCGTGAAGGGTCCCGAAACATTTTGGTATTTTTGAAGGCGAACGGCGTCATTTGGTATTGTTTAGAACTATGATTCGGCTAGTCAAAATTCTAATTTCAGGAGGGGTGGATACGGATATTGGATACGGTCACTTTACAAAATGATGTGATCAATCCTTTTACCCCATAGTTACTTTGTCATAAATTGATGAGGGGCCAACTTACCCCGGGGTCCGACTAGCCCCGGTCTCCCCTAATTTGAAAGCATTTATAACATCATAAAAACCTTCTCTCTGACAACAAGGTGCGCTAGTAGTCTGTTACAAAATTATTGTATAATAAACTTCAATTTTTTATAGTACATGCATTTTAGAAGCCCTGAGGGTAATAAAACCCCACGCGTCCCAATCACACACTGTGAATCTGCAAAGTTCTATAAGTTTCCTGTTATCTCATCTCAGCAAAATTGAAGTCAATTCAAAACAGACCCACCCTTTAATTTCCCATCCAACCAAGGGAAATTTAAAGTTAACGATTTAGAAAAAAATGAAATAAACAGAAAACATCGCATGTTATACTTTGGTTGGGCAATCTGACAAATTTGATTTAAACTTTCAAAGATCAATATTTTCAGTGAGAGACAAGACAAAATGAAGAAATCCTCCAATCGAAGTAAACGTTGGTCATTGAAAAGTTTTAAGATCTTTACCAACTATATAAACTTTATTTACCAGGGTTACACCATAATTACAGTGCGAATGTGCATATAAATGTGCAAGTCAAGATATCGCCTGCGTCTGTCCTCGTCGTCGTCGTGCACATTCCCTTGTTATGACAATGAATTGATAACCATGTCGCTTTTTTGTTATTCTCAGACGTACTGGAGTGATTCATATCATGATAAATACAGTCCACGTTCGAATTGCAATTCTATTTGATCTTTTTTCCCTTAAATTGTCCACTTTTTTATATTTTTTCATTATACTGTCCATTACACTGTAAGACCTGGTAATGCAATAAATAAAAAAAACCCTTATCATTCTAAAATTTAAAGAATAATTCCGCTGCATTAGTATTGGAATAGAAGCCAAGGATAAATGGCAGTTTTATTGAACCATTTATGCCAATAAAGGTAAAACATGAATCTCAGCAAAATTATTATTACTTAAATACACATCTGAATCATGCACATGTGCACACACACGCGCGCGTGTGCACTGGTACGTGCACAGTATATTGCACAAGCACAGAGTACAATTTAGCCTTTGACACAAGAGCTCCGAGTGGAGTAGTTTTCAATGAATGTCAACGTAAGCGACGCAGATGTGTCAACCTCAAATACCAATTTTTTTTTTTTGCACTAAATCTACGTTCCACCAGATCCAAAGATGTTCCAAAATGAGCCCAATACACTTAAAGGAAGTTTAAATACCTCTCTACAGAGTAACAAGTATGTAAAATTCAAGATTTCGTTGCTGTCAGTCACAAGCAGGTACCTCTGTCTAAACGGCCTTGACCTATAATCGTATTATTTGACTAGAGTCTATGCAAATCTAAGTGTGCACATATTTAATTTTATTTGTTCACTATGATTTTCTGTCGCAAAAGATGTCCTAAATAAATAAAAAAATCACACTAAAATGACTTCATTTTATAGTTTGATATAAGTGTAGTTTGTGTGACTGCATTGAGGGGGTTTACAGTTAAGACAATTCCTTTTTGAACGGTGACAAGTGGGTCGAGTCCATTCGATTTGAGGAATGACAGGTGGGACGAGCTCATTCTATCTGAGGGGTGACAGGTGGGGCAAGTCCATTCTATCTGAGGCGTGGCAGGTGGGGCGAGTCCATTCCATCTGAGGGGTGGCAGGTGGGGCGAGTCCATTCCATCTTAAGGGGTGACAGGTTGGGTGAGTCCATTCCATTTGAGGGGTGACAGGTGGGGCAAGTCCATTCTTTTTGAGGGATGACAAGTGGGGCGAGTCCATTCTTTTTGAGGGGTGACAGGTGGGGCGAGTTCGTCCAATTTGAGGAGGGCATGCACAAAATCATCACAAAATTACATTGTAATGTCGGTGCAATAAGCTTCATAAAAGAACACTATTTTAACTTTTTAAAATAAGCTTTATAAAAGAACACTGTTAGCAAAGTTTCGAGGGGATATAAACTTGTATCATGCAGAAATAATCATTAAATTATTGGTCTCAAAATTTGCTTTTCCACAATTTCATATAAATATAACCTTTTTGTCTGCACACGGGACTGTGTGGAAATAAATCAACGTCACAAAATTAAATTAAGGGATCAATATATTTCAAACATATATTTTATTAAGACCTTTTCAAATAGATCGGAACATGTAGACCTAATTTTTTTTGGAAGAAGCAAATTTCAACTTTTGCCATTTCAAGTGTATCTCTCAACTTTCTCGTTTTTTCTGTTTAAATATTTAATTGAAGTATTCATATGATGAGAAGATCGTGAAATTTGAATCAATTTTCTGCAACAATAACCAGAACCCTTCAAAATGGACCCATATTAAAATTGAGAAAATGATATCCGGGAGGACGAACTCATTTATTCCAAGAGATATAAAAAACTGTCCAACTACAAAATAAAATACAGAATAGCTTTTCAAGAAGCAAAATCGTAAATTCACACAAATTGTATTTATAAATGTGGGCTGTTGGAAAATCTTAAACGTGTATTCTTAAAATGCTCAAACTCAATAATTTACAAAATACTATGTAGAGAAAAAAACTGTCTAACTACAAAATAAAATACAGAATAGCTTTTCAAGAAGCAAAATCGTAAATTCACACAAATTGTATTTATAAATGTGGGCTGTTGGAAAATCTTAAACGTGTATTCTTAAAATGCTCAAACTCAATAATTTACAAAATGCTATGAATATTTACAAACTTTTAAAAAACCTTTTGGTTTTAGATATCTTCTGTTACTGCAGAAATCAACAATCCCAAACACAATATTTACAGATCAATTTAGCGGATTAAATTCGAAAGTACTCAAACAATTACCATACCTTTATTATTAATTACCACTTTATCGACATTATTTTATATCAAAGTAAAAGAAACAAGTAATGACAAACGTATCTATTTAGCTATCATTAAAATACAATAGATACATGAATTTGCGTTTGGTTCCAGAAAGTGAATGAAAGGCTTGGTTGCTAGCAGGCGGGTGTTGTGCAGTACTCAGTATCTCAGAGGACTTCTGAAATTAGAAAGTGATGCAAACAATATTTGACTAAACAGGCAGACTTGGAAAATACAACTAATGCATTTTACATCAAAGAGAAGAGAAATGATGTGAGTGTTTACTGATTCGTCCGATGTTCAGGCTCAAATAGCACCCCTCAAAAACCAATCTACGTCGAGGTGACCTTACGCCAAAATTAAATTCTGAAGTTATTGATAAAGATATTTGAGATATCTTGCTTTGAACAAATAAACATTGAAAGCAATTCTTTAATTCGTGGAGGTTATTACTAAGGACGTTAATTTGTTTTACCTACTATTCAATGTTGTAATATCTAAAATCGTTCTGCAACACGCGTTGACCATAAAATTAGTGTACACGTTGATAAGGCACCCCTGACTGTCTTTGGACCAAAAGCTAGGAACTGTGACAAGCACCGTATTATTATCTAAATTAGTCCGTGATCTTTGTAGTATTAGTCCCATCTACTTATTTGCTAGCTAATATTATGAGTGACATAAAAGAAACGACAGGCAAATCATAACAAAGAACCGTAACATAATTACTTGTAATTTTTCTTGCATTCTTTAACGCTTTTTATATCTAACGACAGAGGTAATTGAAGAAAAAAGTGATACTTACGGAACATGCACTCGTGTCTTCGTCTCATAAAAGTTCGACCTTGCAACTGTACCACACTTGCTGTTGCGTCTTCACCCTGATGTGTCCTACTGCCTAGTGAGCATTGGGGAAGACAGCTCGCACTACGATGAGCAACTTATTGTTATGCAAATTACAGACAGGTATGGCCCATTTTAGGTGAGGGACTGTGGCTAAAACTGTTCACGAATGTTCACGGTCAAAAACACGTAGGCCCTACATGAAGATTTGACTGAGGTCCACTTGTTAAAATACACCACTTTATTCCACAAATATTGCACATGCGTCTTCCATCATGTAGTTCAATATTTCTTTGATACAGTACTTCCACAGAACAACACCAGAGAAAGAGGGTGTTAATATTTTTAATTGATCAATAGGCGTACTTATAATCCTGTTGTTGACATAATGGAACGGATAAATCCTAGTTCTGTTCAAACAAATAAATAAATAAACACCGAGAAACCCGTTTCCCAACATGTTATGGGCCAAACAATACGATATTTTATATAGCAATAATGAATCTTATCGGTAGAAATAGTCATGGGCGAAACAAGACGGGTCCTTTATAAATAACTGGCAACTGTCGGGATAACGTTTATTTATTTATTTATTCATTTATTTATTTATTTTTGCAAATATTGTTGAAATACTTATTTGTTGTTTAGTGTCTGCATATATGGGAACAAAACCTTAGTAGTTCGGGAATGTTATCATAGTGTTTTTTTATGCATGCGTTAGATTAAGTTGGGGGTCATCGGCAACAGACAACAATCAAGAGTGTATGGTTTTTATCAAGATAATTTAAAGGATCGAGGCTGGGAAGATTCGGGATGAGCGTCGCATCCTGTCTTCTCCAACACAATCCCACGAAGTTGCCATTCATTCTTTACTCTAGATATGAAATCTGCTAAGCTTAAATCGCTTGATATCAAGTATTACGACTGAGAAAATGTGATTGTTTTAGCCATTGTGATTGTAGTAAACCCGGGTCACCTTCCTGGGATGGGGATCCATGATTGTACCTTATCATATAGATGTAATGAAACTCAATCAGATAATGTATACCTTTGGGGAAGAGCTAAACGAAATCGATCGTGAGAGGATATTAACTCTGAGTAGTCTCATAAAGAAAAAAGGCGAGAGACTTCGTAGCATTAATAAATCTAAAAAACGCCTTGGTGTTATTTACAGATAGTTAATGATCTATAGTGATCATAGGTTTGATTGTAACATCTACATGAAGTGTGCAATCAGCTGAGCTATCCCCAACGAAAGCAACACGAAGGACACTGAAATATCGAAGTGAAAATATAATTTGTTTTAGGCCTATCTGTTGATTAAAACAGGATGTCACTTGTGCAGTTGATGGAATTCTTTTCTAAGCATGTTATCAATATAAATGTCAAACACTGAAAGACTTCATTTGAAAAAAAATATCGTACTTGCCAATTTAAGATTTCTTTATAATTTTATGAAGACAAAGCAAGCATTTAAACTACATGACTTTAAAATAGCGTGGTGTTTTTTTACTAAGCATCCTAGACAACAATTTCGAAATCAAAAGGAATAGAATTATTCATTGTGTGTGTGTGTGTGTGTGTGTGTGTGTGTGTGTGTGTGAGAGAGAAAGAGAGAGAGAGAGGGGGGGAGTCGGGTTGCAAGACGTAGGCAAATCTCCCTCTCTGGCAGTTATTAATATTGATAGGTATGATAATCTGTTATCACAAAACAACACTTTTATCATCACTGCTAATGCTAAACACGTTAATATTAGGTCATATATCTACCAGTCAGTACCGACTAGTACGTCTCTCAATTGTCACATAAACCGGTATTTTTTCATAGAATTAATGTACCATTCCAGAACTACGTGTTAAACCTGCCAGTAAGGGAAAAAGTTATTCTTATTATCTATCACTGTGTTTTTTGTTCTTCCTGGTGATATGATTGTTAAATGAGTAACGCAAATTCCAATTGTGGTTTTCTAACTATGAAATTGTTTTATTTTAGCGGTGACTTTCTATACAGTATACAACGATGATAGTAACGTCTGCTAGAAGATCAGTGATACGTGTTGTAACCTCTGATGCTCAGAAATATATGTTGCGGTATTAAACTGCTCCCCTTTTTACTCTATTCGGCCACCACGCCCAAAAAGCGGCCGATTTTCCAGAAAGTACCCCCAAATATTCAGAGCATCATCCATTTTAATTAATAAGATTAAAGTAAACATGAGACGCTCATCCCAGATCTTCCCAGCCTCGATCTTTTAGATATCCGACGCGTAACTATGAACGTTGGCTCCCTTTCCTTACCTAATCCAGTTTTGGTTTGTTTCAGCAAATTTTTCACAATTTTTCAATAGTTGAAGATATCAGACTTCACTTGAATTCGATTGAAATAAAGGACATAACGTCTCAAGCCAAAATAAGTTTGTGAGTAAAATTAGTTTTGAGTGTAATGTAATAAGATAAGTGGATACATGTGGAAATTACCCTGAGACAAGAGAAAGGTGTGGTCTCATGTAAAGTCGTGAGCAAAGTTTCCAGGCGAGAGCTTCAAGATTTATTTAATTTTTGCTTGAGACGTTACGTCGTTTACATTACAACATATTTAAAACGTTATCTATGAAAATCATCTTAATTCCACTGGAAAAGGTATGAAAGCCGTTTGAATAAGTGCATACCCCCCCCCCCCCCCCAATAAATAGATAAACAAAATTAAGGAACTTATCCTTTAAAATATCCACATGAATTTAAAACTATGTAATTTAACTAGAATATTATACTGCCATACAATGTACATATTCTAGTTAAATTAAACCAATGATCCATGTTTCCAACAGTGTTATGTCTTCTGCTTCATAAAAATAAAGGAAATTAATTTTATTAGAAACCACACCCATTTAAAACAATGTAATTTATAGAATACTAAACTGCAATACAAATCAAACCAATTCAATGTGGTGTAGACAATAATCCAACAACTTAAGCCTGACAACACCATAATTTTTTTAAAAAATCATTTTATTGCTCTTGAGAAAACATAAAAGAAATTTTATCATTTGGTTGTCTCAGTTAGTGGGTCAAAGTTTAAACAGACAATTCAGCCCCACATATTTTGATATTTAATTTTGAAAGAAAATCAGTCTCTTGTGATAACACATGAATTATCCAATGGCACCATCATAAAAGTGGACAAAAGAATGAAAAAATATTAATTCTAAATATCAGAGTTGCCTGATATAAAACAGACTGAACATCAGAAAACAATGGTACTTGAAGTGCTACACTCTAATTACATGATGAAGTGCACCAGATTTGTCCTTGCTGTCATGCTGATAGGAAGGTGGTCTCCTAGGCTTCTCTTCTGTTGATAAATCTGTAAAAATGTCACAATATTCCTTTAGAAGATATCCATTGCTTTAATAAATTGATCAATAAGTTGTTAAATAAAGATATCATTATACTGTAAAAGAATATGTTAAATACCCAGCTGCAGGAATCATTTCAGTTACAAAACATGCCACTTTTTCATGTTGTCCAATGCAGATCTTGATATATGTCTTAATATGTCTTAACCTGTTTTGATTTAAATAAATAAGTAAATAAATCCCACAGGGAGGAGTTTTACCTTAGCTGTCAGCTGTGGTACCATATGGTCTGATGTTTGTCTGTTACCCTGATCTCCATGACAACAGGTCCAGATGCTCAAAGATGGTGTTCAGAGCCTCAGCAACCACCCACAATTTCTGGTCCTTGGTCAGTATTTCCACAAGAAATGTGCCACAATTCTGAAGGAAAAATCAACTTGACAGCAACACTAGAAACTTTACAGACAGCAAACAGCAACAAACATTCCAACAACATTAGTAAAAGAATTTTATAAATTCTCAAACGAATAAAGATGTTCATCATAAGCTGAAAAAAAGACGTAAATGTTTTTCACTCTTCACAAGCTATGATGATATTCTGTTCATCAGTACACACTTTCATGTCAGCAGGCTTTTAATATTTAAAGTTGTTATTAACTGGACACAACAGTTTGAACATTTAACAATGGTACCATTCCCTATGAGTAAACCATGAGCAAAATTTACTTAAGCATATATAATGGCTGATATGGTCAGAGCAAAATGATAACATTAATCTACCTCTACTTTCAGACTAAACAAACTGGACTAAATTTCTGATTAAAGTTAAATAAAAATAAGAATTTAAATTATCAGGTCTAGGCTGGACAACAGATGTGTTGAACAAGGATAGCATGGAAAACATAGTGATCAAAACATGCAAACACATTCAATGCCTGTAACTAATACAGACATTAAACAAATAATTTCAAGGAAACAGATGCAATGGCATCCAGACAAGAAATATAACTCAAGAGTTGTAAAATTCTTTGAAAAAAAAAGATCTGTCTATAAAAAAATGAAAATGTTTTTAATTGTTCCAAATCTTTTTCTGATCAGCCATCAATACTGTCCCTGCCCTCTTTCAATATTTTATTCTTTCAAATGAAGACAACCATTAATTAACACTAGCAGTGAACCCTATGAGTAAAGCATCAGCCAATTCACAAAAAATTCAAATAGGCCATACAATATTAATTTATGTAATGAGAGAAAGAGATAACTATTAGTACCTCAACTTTTAGACGAAGCAAATTTCACGACTACATCACCAAGAAAACTAAATGACATGACATACATGTACCTATCTGGGGTACCTTGTAGATATGTTTCCATCTCTGTCTTAAAGGTGTGGAGACTCACTGATATTACAGATATTTTCAACGCTGAGAGGGATAAATTGTTTGAAACAGCAAAGCTGGCAAAATACAGTCACCAGTAAAAAAAACAGTAAAAAAACTATGCACTTGCACACCATTTAAAACCAATCTTGCTCCCATTTAAAAGTAACACTACTTGGTGAAGTTAATGAATTAAGTTCCTGAAAACATTTTATAAAAAATTGTAAACATTAATAAGTTTCCATTTCTCAAAACGTTGTCACAATATTTTCAGAAAAATTACAAAAAATATATTGTAATTAATTCAAATAAATGTTTAAAAAATGTTTTTAAAATGTTTGGAGAAAATGTTTTCACAAAAGTTTTCAAAAAACATTTTTAATAAGTTATTAAAAAGTTTCAATAAAAGTTTTTGAAAAACGTTAAAATGTTTCAAGAAAATGTATTCAAAAATGTTTGTAAAACATTTCCAACCTTTTGTGTTTTAAAGGTTCTTATTAAGTTCCAAATAAAAAAAGGTTTTCAAAAAAAAAAACATCTTTAAAACATTCTTGTAATGTTTCAAGAAATTTTTTAAAAATGATTTTTAAATGTTCTTTGGGCATATCTCTGTCACTATTAGAGATATAAGGGCTGAATTATAGGTTAGGTTTGTATAGTTCCTGAAAATCGGCAGAAATAATTTTTTTTTTTTTTTTTGCACAAAATTCTCATTTTTAGAATATTTTGTCCCGTTTCACCTTGAAATAAAGGTCAAAGGTCAAATCCAAGGGCATATTTGAAATCTCTATATATGACTTTCGGTCAGCCATCTATAGAAATTTTTCCCATAAAAAGCCAGCAGACGATACCAGTCAGGACTGCAACCATGTGTACCGCCAGCACCACGCTGATGGTACTATAACTCAGTAATCAAGCTGTTGTTTGGATCTTTTTCTATTACTATGAAAACAATTTAAAGGCTGTGCAATGGAGTTGCCATTTTAAAGCAGGAATTCATCTAAATTTAAAAGTGATAAAACAGAGAACAATGCTTATCGTTATTTTTACAAACTCATGACTCACCTGCATAAGTACCTTTCCAATGATGACATCTCTCTGTCTCTCCATCTCTCTCTTTCTGATGAATTTCATTAAAATCCTTATGTACATTGTGACATAATATGCTGCTTGCACTGACAAACATTTAATTAATTATCTTATTATTAAGAAATAAATTGCAAACAAAATCTTTTTTTAAATCTTGTTTCTTGGTCCCCTCAGTTTTTGAAAATGTCATCAAACTTTATCCATAATTAACTTTGTGCATTATATTTTGAAGAGACAGATAAACAGAGCAAAAAGCACAACCAGTGATTGGTGGAGTTATTAAATCAAGTTTTTATGTCTATCACTAGACTAATATTATTTCTCAACCTTGATTATTTAAAATTAATTGCATGTCAAATAATAGATTTGAAAAAAATCATTACTCATATTTCACTATTAACTGTAAATACAGGGTATGTTAGATATCCTTGTTAATCGCATCTGATTAATTCCTTCAAATCCTCTTCCCTCCCTATATTCAAAGTGTCATTTGGTAAAGAACAAGTAGACTTCTTTGAGGAAAATGTCATCATACCAGTATGTATATTTTGTGACATTTCTATAAACAATTGCTTTACAAAATTACTTATTACATCATCTACAGAACCAGCCTGGCATGTGTGACAAATATAAACTGACTGATAAAATCACTTGCTGTCTTTTATCTGGCTAGGTGTAAATTGATGGAATGCCCTGTTACCTGTTAACTAGTTAACTGTTAACCAATGACAGACAATTATTTGCAGTGCAGATAACATCTTTAAAACATTACATCTGAAGTATTGGAGACGAATGACTTCAACCAATCAGATATGTCCACTGTAACTGACAGTTAACACTGTCCAATAGAATGTCTGTATTCAAGATTTTATGTAGCAGTAGCCAACAATAACTATATATATGGCTTTCATGTAGTATAAAAACTGGGTATATTAATACAACCAGATCAAACAGACTCCAAGCCTGGATAAACAGTAATCAGAGATTGTGCTGCTGAATTTTAGTATTGGACAGGAACTTTCAAGCCAGAATAATTCCTACAGATTTTCCAAGTGATGGTACGTGCATAGCAAGTTTACGATACTGGCTTAGCAACGTTTAAGACACTGGCATAACTACAGCTGAGGAATTGTCAGGAAAAAGGACAACAAACAGGAAATAATATCTGTGACAAGACTATCACAACTAAGTTCTTGTACCATTCATGCAAAAATGCAGACTGGAGAGAAACTTCACAAGTGTAGATACTGTGAGAAAACTTTTACACACAAAGGCTATCGCACCTTTCATGAAAGAATTCACACAGGAGAGAAACCTTACAAGTGTAGATTCTGTATTGAAGCTTTTANGGCACGCTAGTAGTCTTATCTGGTACAAAAGTATTGAAAAGTGATTTTTAAATACTATTTAAGGGCCCCTGATATTAGAGGGTAGGCACGCCACTGCTCGTCATCTGTTAAAAGAGAAACTAAAATGATTTTCACTATCAATAAGTACTAGTGTGATAGGGACCATTCCCAGACCCTATTGTACTAACTGTGGATCGATCTATCTCCGAGTGGATTCTCGCTAAATTGCAGTTAACTTAAGCGGCTCAGATGTCTATCACGCCTACTGAAGCTGCTAGGGGGTAATTATCGTTAAGCAGCTTCAGTATCGTTCGCATCCACGTACTCAGTGGGAGATCAAATGCCTTGAACATATTCTAAACAATTCCATGCGCTGCTTATATCTTCATTTTAATACGTCGGAATCAGGGTGTTGGGAGATCGAATATAGAAATTAGAACGGTTGAGAGAACAGAAAATATTTGATAAATCTTTAACTAGAGAGGGGAGTGAAATGATACTATTAGGCTCCATAGAGGCGTTCAAAAAATTGTACTACTGTCGGTATTTCACGAAGTCAGCGCGGGGTATTGGCATAGTTTTCACTTAGCAATTACCACGCCTCGGTGCATGGGAGTTGTAGATCCCACACTGAAAATGCCAATAAAGAATGAAAATTTACCCCTAAAAATTCATTAATTAAAAAAAATAATAATAATGATAAATAAATAAATAATAAAATAAAATAATAAATAAATAAAATAAAATAAACAAATTTAAAAAAAAAATCCAATGAGACTAGTATTCTGCAGTGGTGGATTTAGAGGGGGGGGGGGTCAGGGGGGTCCTGACAAATTTCACAAAAATTGTCTAACTTTATGAAAATTGTTTAATTTAGTAAAATATACATTCCTTTAAGTTTGAAGAGAATAGGTCAAATAGTTTTTCCTCAAAGGGTGTTATCTGCAGACATGAACCTAGGTTTCAAAAAAAAAAAAAAAAAAGAAGAATATTAATAATAATAAATAAATAAATAAAAAACCTCTGAACATTTATCATGGGACCCTACACCTAACCACCTAATTAACCAGCCAGGGGTCCGGGGGCTGCCTTAGGAATTGAATTTAAAAACACAGAAATTCCACGGTTCCATGGAAAAAGCTCATGTCTGTATCTGTATGGCATTTATACTGAAGTAAATACAGAAACCAACAACTTTTGAAAAAAATGGTACAACCAAGTTGATTTTCTAACTCCACCTGTACTTAATGAATACTTATCATTTGTATAAGTTTGAAGACATAAGTTTACATAGTTTTCTAATAATAATATTTTAGTTAAACCATCACTTGAAATACACTGCCACTTTTTGTTGGAGATCTTAGGGCGCATTCCCATAGATTTTAGATTGATCTATTCCCATGGGGAGTCTCACTAGATTACTGTCAGATAATCCGGCTTAAATGTCCGTCCCGCCTACTACAAGCTGTAAGGGGGTAATTAACTTCCGTGCGTGGTCGGCTGACTGCAATTTAGCGTGAAACCCCCAGGGAGATGGGTCTATCTAGTGAGATCGATCTAAATCTCTGGGAATGCCCTCTTACACTTCCTCTGTAGCTGCTGCTTTAATTGCAATACCTTATGTGAATTGGCTTCAGAATAGATGGTTATTTACTATGTAAGAGAGCAAGAAAGTTTTATACGTATTTTGTTTCATTTAATTTTTATGGACTTTTTTAAATACAAATTTTTAAAATTATCCTAGTATTTCAAGTAAAGTTTTTAGCTTATAAATCTTCAGAGTTTAGACAATAACCCATTTCACGCGTTCAAGTTGGATAATTTTATTTTGTTAGTACATCTTTAGGTTTGCTATTTAGAAAATGATTTCCCATCATATTTGATCTACGTTTCTACCCATAGTAAAACAAAGAAAGCTCAGACGTAGTTATTTGGTGCACAGAGAATTTCAAGTGTACTGTGAGTAAAAGAGACAAAATGTTATAATTACTTAGGTTACCTTTTCAATATACTTTTAGCTTGAAAATGGTTTTTATATTGTTATTTTTGCTGAATTTGAGCAACTTTATACAACTCTGATGAATAAGCATTATAGGGCAGTCATCACCTACTTTGATGGAATCAAATATTTCTAATAATATTTTTAACATTTTTATTTCCAGATAACATTAAAAAGGTGTACAATGCTTTACACCTCTAACAATTCAATTAGTGAAATAACAAATCTAACATCAGAACATTCAACATAATTCAACACAAACATTTATCTTCTGCAAGCATTTGCCTCATTTTCAATTTCCATATTACTGTGATTACAGGACCAACCTGGAAGGGGGCGATTAAGACACCCCTGCACACCTCTTAAACAATCAGAGTGTGCCCCAATAGCTTTAACACTGTCTTCACACCAAATGTCAGTCACTATGTCAGTGCTCAAAGACAATATAAGAAAACAGAATTCATTACTTTTTAAAGTCACATGTGAAGATTCTCAACCATGAATATGCACTATTACGATATGTCCATGTTTATATTACTAGCAAGACCAAGAATAAAAAGGCCTAGTTTACAGCTAGTGAACTTGGTTTCAAATTATTGTTCAATATTCATTGGCTCCATTCTTTTTTTTTTTAAGTCAGTGGAGAGTTATCAAATCCTCTTCAGTGCTGTCAGGAAGCACTCCAAAGGTCTCCTAATTATTGGGTAACCTGTAAAAAAGCAAATGAAAAACTTCAATATTTCACGATGAAACACTACAGCCATGCAGCAAAAAACCTTATGACCTTATTACAAAAATTATCTAACTCCACACAGAGCTGAAAAATGTTAATTTTGAAAATATTGTACCTAAAACCCTTCACACTGGACAGCGTCCATTCTGCTTCCTTTGTGCAACCATGAAACTGGCATTGCTGTGGTCGTAGAAAGGAGGCACAAGCATCACTTTGGTTGCACAATGAATGCTCAATGATCGGCCAGTTGTCAGAACGTTTTTTTTTTTAAATTTCAAATGGGGCCGTACTACAGGATGCAGAAAGGACATCGTCCATTGTAAAGGGGGCTTAAGACAAGAGACAGGCAAATGCACAGGCACCAGTCTTAGTAAATATAGCCACACACCCAATATGAAGTAAAAACAAGGCAGCAAAGCTGTCAAATGTAGAGACACAAAGCAGAAAATAAAGATGCAGAAAATAGGTCATTTTGTCAAATTTGATGCAATTTAATAAATAATGTTTATAACAGCACAGTCAATCAACACTACAATTTAATCATGCACAATAGGTAACATGGTCAATAAGATTACAGTTTCAGGATCATCAGAGTTCAAACATTTACCTTTAAACATTATACAAAATCAATTTATGCAATAATATAAATGATAGTGCATAAAATAATTTTGTATAATGTTTAAAGGTATTAACACCAATATTATAGCTTATGTGGAAATACAGAAAATGTACAAAGCTTCGGGTGGGTTGGAGTTAAAAGTCACATCTTGAAGATGCCAGTGTTTGAAAAAAAAAATTTAAAATTAAACATAACAAAAAATATTCCAATAAAGCTGCTATTCAAACTTTTAATCTAGTTGTATTAACACGATATGAATAACCCCAGTGAGTATGAGGATAATAAGGCACTGTTATTCATCTATAGCA